CTCTCTTGTATAGCAGTGTCTCCGCCCCACAATCGATCGTCTACGCAGGAGCTGATTCAAAATCGAAAGGGTGTTGAGCCTACAGCCTCGGGTCAAAAACGAAAGATCGAGAGGGCTCAGGGCCGTAGGACGCACAACGATCTTCGGCCCTTTAGGCCCAAAATTTTCCTCGCAATCGGAGCTCAACGATTGTGGACTCTCTCGCTTCCCTCACTCCGCTGACTTCGCTTTCGCGCCGCTCTCTCCGCGCACTCAGCTTCGCTCCACTCCCTCGTCCGCTCCGCTCCCTCGTTCGTTCCGCTCCGCTTCGTTTGCTCCGCTCGCTCTGCTTCAGCTCCGTCCGCTACACTCCCCTCGCTCTCTCCGCGCACTCAGCTTCGCTCCACTCACTCGTTCGCTCCGCTCCGCTCCGCTCCCTCGTTCGTTTCGCTCCGCTTCGTTTGCTCCGCTCGCTCTGTCCGTTCCGCTTCGCTCCGCTCGGTCCGCTCGGGTCCACAATCGTTGAGCTCCGATTGGCTCGTCCCAATTTTGGGCCTAAAGGGCCGAAGATCGTTGCGTCCTACGGCCCTGAGCCCTCTCGATCTTTCGTTTTTGACCCGAGGCTGTAGGCTCAACACCCTTTCGATTTTGAATCAGCTCCTGCGTAGACGATCGATTGTGGGGCGGAGACACTGCTATACAAGAGAGAGGCCGCACTTTTGTTCCAGTTTCAGGGCTGTGCGGGTTATCGCTGAAAGTTGGAGGGTGTGGTGCACCTGTGGTGCACCTGTGGTGCACCTGTGGTGCACCTTCGGAGGTTCGGGAGGTCGCGGTTTCAGGGCTGTGCGGGTTATCGCTGAAAGTTGGGGGGCGTGGTGGATCTGTGGTGCACCTGTGGTGCACCTGTGGTGCACCTGTGGTGCACCCGTGGCGGTGCATCACGGGGGCCAGTGATGCCGTTTTAGGTTGCGAAAACCAAACGGGACTTTTGACCCTGCGTCCTGAGTTCCGAGAAATGGACCGCCGCCGGAGCCGCCGCCGGAGCCGCCGCCGGAGCCGCCGCCGGAGCCGCCGCCGGAGCCGCCGCCGGAGCCGCCGCTGCCCGTGCCTCCGCCTGAAGCCGCCGCTGCATCTGCCCGCTCCTTGCACCGTCCGTCTGTTTGCATTTCGCGCATGCGTGCTCACTTTGCAGGTTTTTGCGCATCATGGGCTGCCACGACGGAGAGGGCGAGCTAGCGCAGTAGAGATCTCTAGGGAGAGTCCCGAGCCCACCCGAGCCCCCTTGACCTCTTGTGCATGTTACCATGTGAGTTCCGCGCGCGCTGCTCAAGGTAGCATCCACCGTTGGCAACAGCCAGGGCACTGTAGGCAGCAGCCACCATAGGCAACAGCCAGGACACCGTAGGCAGCAGCCAGGACACCGTAGGCAGCAGCCGGGACACCGTAGGCAGCAGCCACCCTAAGCAACAGCCAGGACACCGTAGGCAACAGCCACTTGAGGCAGCTCCGTAGATTGTTGCCATGGCACCGGAGGAAGAGCATAGCCCGAATGAGGATGATGCGCCGCCTCGACGAGAAGTGCCAAGACCTGGACACCTCGCACACGAGGAGAGAGCCCGGTTGCGAGAGCAGGAGACACAGCAGGACGAGATTTTGCAACGGCAGCAGGACCAGATGACGGCTCAGCAGCGGGCGCGGGTTTTGACGGCCCAGATGGAGTTCTCTGAGGGCAACCTTCCGTCGCTCCTGCAGCTGCTGCAGGTTGGGCTGGCTCTGAGTGCCAACCTACAGGAGCAGGTCACGCTGCTGACACGCCAGGTGGAGCAGCAGCAGTCGAACTTCACCAGGGCCCTCGCGGAGGTACGGAGCCTTGGTCAGCGTTTTATAGAGCAGCAGGCCAGGGCGCACGCCAGAGATGTTTTCCAGCTGTCGCAGTTGGTGCAACAGAGCCTGGCAGGACAGATGAGAGGAAGGACGGCCCCGGCCACACCTCGGGGTGCGGCGCCGTCGACGCCCGCGCCGTTGACTCCTGGGCCCATGGGGCCTGTGACGCCGTTGCCAGCGGCAAAAGCCCGTCCTGCGTCCCGGAGGGTGCGCTGCAAGCGGTGCGGCGCTTGCAAGCAGAAGCTGGCGGCGGATGAAAAGCGCTCGGCTTGCATAAACTGGCTGCCGCTGCAGGAGTTGAGCCGGGACGAGAAGGGCCGCTGGAAGCGAGCAAGAGAAGACGAAGAGGAGGAAGAAGAGGAGGAAGAAGAGGAGGAAGAGGAAAGACCGCCGGAGGAGTCGAAGCCAGCGGCGGCAGAGGAGAAAGAGAAGGGGGCAGACGCGAGGGCGGCAAAGGAGAAAGAGAAGAGGTAAAAGCCAGAGAAGAAAGAGAAGAAGAAAAAAAAGAAGAAGGCGGAGGCTGCACAGCAGGATGAGGGCCGCTTCGATGGCCATGAGCGCGCAGAGCCGCTGGGCAAAAACCCGCCGGGGAACGACCACGGTGGCCCCGACGGTGGGGCCTCACCGGCCGCTGTTAGCTTCTTCTAGGATGTGGGGCTGGGCAGCTGGCTTAGGGTAAACAACACACACAGCACCGCACAGCACCACACAGCAGCACAGCAGCACACGGTAGCAGAGCAGCCAGCATCAGCCACCACACGTCTCACGCACCACGAGCACCACGACACGAGGAGGTGAGCTTCTCTTGAGTGTTTTTGAAAAGTGCGGCCGCTTGCGCTGGGTTTCCCAGACCCCCCCCCGTAAGGTTGCCCCGGTTTGCCTCCCTAGGTTCAGGGCACCCTTCCCTTTTGGAAGCCCCGTAGGAGTGCCTTGTGTGTGTCCCTGCAAGTGAGTGCGCGACTAACCCCTTAGGCTCCCCGTAGGCTGCCCGAACCCCGCGTCCCTGCCTTAGGTCCCGACCCCCTTTTGCTTCTGCCGCTGCTGCTTCAACTCTGTGCTTCTTCTGCCTCTTTGCTTCAAGCCGGGCCGGGCTGGGTGGGGCGGGCGGTCGGGGCGGGCGGGGCGCGGCCGGGAACTCAGAGTGCTGCGGTAGGAGGGGTCGCCGGTAGGAGTGCTCTGTCGTGCGAGGCTTCGGGGTTTGTTCAGGGTTTGTTCGGTTTCAGGTGGTTTGGGCTCCGAGGCTGCCAGGCAGTGTTTGTGCGCGCTCCCCTCCCCGACCCTCTCCCTCCTCCTTGCTCTCGCCGCCCAGGTGGGGCTCCCGCAGTGTAGCCGTAGGAGGGTCGCCACTAGGAGTGCAGGTAGGAGTGTCTGTGCGCGCGAGGTTCAGGGTTTGTTCGGTTTGCAGGTCTTTGGGGCTCCGAGGTTGCGAGGCAGTGTTGTGCGTGCTTGTGGTTTGCGCTCCCTCCCCGCCGCCTCCCTCCTCCCCTGCCTCTCCTCCCGCCCAGGTCCGGACCTCCTCGCGTCGCGCCGGGCACTCCCACGCAGGCTTCAGGGATTCCGAGGCGGTTTGGGTTTGCGTAGGCTGCAAGGCAGTGGACTGTGCGCGCAAGGCTTCGGGTTTGGTTCAGGGTCACTTCGGAGGTTGGAAGGCGTGGGTTTCCTCAGGCAGCCAGGTCTAGAGTGCAGGCGCGAGGGTTTCTGCTGAGGGTTTTGGGGTTCTGGGGTTTTTAGGTCCCGAACCCCTTGGGGTACCCCTAGGCTGCCTTGCATCCGGGATCCCCGGCCCCCTCCTCGGCGCCCAGGTGCATCCGCCGCCGCTGGGGCGTCGCGACTTCACGCGACGGTGAAAAAGAGGGGCCAGGGGGGCCGAGCGGGAGCACCACTCGCGAGTCCCGGTCCCCCCTGGCCCCGCCGTGCGCATCGGAATGGCGAGGGGCTAAGCCTAGGACCCCAAAAGAAGCCGAGGAGGGGGGCCGAGCGGGAGCAGCCCAGATGGCGAGGGGCTAAGCCTAGGACCCCACAGGGACGACGCGACAAAACAACAGGCAGGCCGCGACGGATCGAGGAACGGGATCGTGTGGTGCACGATGGGCTCCACGGAGCACCATCAGCTCTTCGGAGCACCATCAGCTCTTCGGAGCAGCATTGGGCCCAAGGGCCCGGATTGGAATAAAAAACTCCTTGGAGCCACCTTTTCCCCTTTATTATATAGGGGACCGAGGGGCTTAAATTGGCTGGGGGCGCACGCATTTGCTCTGCGGAGCATTGGGCCCGAGGGCGAGCATTGGGGCTTCGTGCCCGGACCATTGGGCCCACGGGCCGTGAGGCGGAACCAGACCTACGGACCATTCGGAACATGGGCCGGGGTGATGCACCGCTGCAGGTGCACCACAGGTGCACCACAGGTGCACCACAAAAGCTCGGTTGGCACGATTGCTCCGGACGCTGGGCACCCTTCTATAGGGGGCACCTCAAACCCCAGGGGTGCACCACAAAAGCTCGGTTGGCACGATTGCTCCGGACTTTGGGCACCCTTCTATAGGGAGCCCCTCAAACCCCAGGGGTGTGGGCACCCTTCTATAGGGGGCACCTCAAAACCCAGGGGTGCACCACAAAAGCTCGGTTGGCACGATTGCTCCGGACTTTGGGCACCCTTCTATAGGGAGCCCCTCAAACCCCAGGGGTGTGCTCGGTTGGCACGATTGCTCCGGACGCTGGGCACCCTTCTATAGGGGGCACCTCAAAACCCAGGGGTGCACCACAAAAGCTCGGTTGGCACGATTGCTCCGGACTTTGGGCACCCTTCTATAGGGGGCCCCTCAAACCCCAGGGGTGCACCACAAAAGCTCGGTTGGCACGATTGCTCCGGACTTGGGCACCCTTCTATAGGGGGCCCCTCAAAACCCAGGGGTGCACCACAAAAGCTCGGTTGGCACGATTGCTCCGGACGCTGGGCACCCTTCTATAGGGGCCTCCCCGAAAGCTAGGTGCACCATAGGTGCACCACAGGTGCACCACAGGTGCACCACAGGTCAGGCTCGTTCGGTTGCTCGCTTCTCCCCTGCTGCCTTTTAGAAATTTCATTCCGCAGCAATTCGCTGATCTCCGAAACCGCCGCAGCCTTCAGAGTAACCGCGATGCCGAGCCAGCACGTGCCCGGAAAGGGATCTTTGCAGACGCTCCGCACTAAGGTGGAGACCGGCCACATGCGCTCCGCGAAGAAAGGCTGCCTCGGCCGCAAACTGACCGCAGAGGAGCTCGAGGCGTGCAAGCGGGAGCTCGCCGAGCTGGAGGCCAAGCGCAAGGAGGGCATGGAGCACCGCAAGAAGGTGGCGAAGGAGACCCTCCAGAACACGAGGGATCTCAAGCAGGGCCAGGCCGAGCTGAAGCAGGGCCAGGGCGAGATCAAGGACGGCGTCGGCCGCATCGAGCAGAAGCTCGACCGCATCCTCGGGGCCGAGGGCAGCAGCCAGCACCACAGGGAGCTGGCCAAGCAGGCGACCAAGCGCGAGCGCGAGAAGGCCAAGGAGGAGCTGAAGCGCCAGCGCGAGGATTCCAAGCGCCAACGCGAGGATGACAAGATCCGCCAGCTCCTTTCCGTCGGGCTGTCGATCGACTGTGTCGACCGCTTCGTGGACGGTGTGCTCATCAGGGGCGGCGTGCTGTCCCCGCAGTGCTTCGAGGTAGATGACCTTGGCGCCGCGTTCGAGCTGTGCGGCTTGGACTGTCGCCTGGCGGCGTTGAAGGGCTCCATGGCCCTTGTCCAGGTCATGCAGTGGGAAGGGCGCACTTTCCCGGAGAGCGAGCTGAAGAGCCTGGGGCTTGAGAAGATGGAAGCCCAGCCGCGAAACGGCTCGGCTGGCATGGAGATCGTTTACGAGGAGAGCAAGGGGCTCATGTACAACAAGCCAATCGTGAAGACAGGAGCGGAACGTTGGATTCGAGTCACCGAAAGGTATTTCTTGGTCCGCCTCCTGATGCCCGCGTCGTGTGTGTTCGAGCAGCTGGCTGCGGGGGAGCCGTCGCCGAAGCGCCGACGCACCGAGGAGGCTGCCGAGCCAGCAGCCCAGCCGGCAGCCACGGAGCCCGCAGAGGCAGCGCCTGCAGAGGCAGCGCCCGCGGAGCAGCCGCCACCGGCGCCACCGGCCCCCAAGCCACCCTCCCCTGAGCCATTAAGCGCGGCTAACGAGCAGCTTCCCGAGATTTTGGTCCACGGGGTGCGCTGCAGCCACCTGGTGGCCGACTACTACATTGTCAAGGAAGTCGAGAAGATGCTCGACTATATACCTGCGGGGTGGCGAGGCCTTTCCCGAGCTGTTGGAGATCGTTTTGTGCATTGAGTCGACGAGCCCCCCTTTGGGTACCTTCTATGGAATGCAGTTGAAGCCGGAGAACCGCTCCCAGGTGCCGAGCACCTGCGCTCAGCTGCGCCTGAAGTTGAGCTTCGAGCAGCCTGCCGCGGAGCCAGCCCCTCAGCATTTTTCCGAGAAGAAGCCCGGGGACTCTGAGGACAGCTCGACGCGAGCCGAAACGGAGCCCGCGGAGCTGCCTGCCATCCAGGACGCCGAGCCCGCAGACGAGGAGCCCGCCCAGACCGTCCGCATCTTCGGCGAGCAGGGCTTCGACGTCGAGATCAAGGACGGATGCCTCGGTCGGGTTTTGGGCGACCTCTACCACGCCGGGAAGGTCCTGGAGGGGCTCTGCTTCGAGGTCACTTTGCATCTCTTCAAGGACAGCCGCAAGCTGGGCACGCCCCAGATCGTCGAGAATGTGGTCTTGAACATGGTGGAGGACCGGCGCAGCGGCAAGGCCTTCGATGTGAATGGCACCATCGCGAAGGTGACGCGGGTCACGATGCTGCTGGACATCGGGGCCACTCGGCTCAACGGCTTTTGGGGCATGTGGATGGGCGACGGCCAGCGCGAGATCATCAGCGACTTCGAGGCGTTCCTCATGGCCGACCCCGCGCCTTACGGCATAGAGTATGTGGACATTGTCGAGGGGGGGAGCTTCTTACCTTCGAGCAGTACGATTCGAACACAAAGACCCTCCGCTGCGAGGGCGGGCAGGACGTGCCCCTGAGCCAGGTGCTCGCACTCCTTTGCGACATGTGATCCGCAAGCAGCGCCCCGACGGACAGAGTGCGGCGCAAAAAGTCTTCGAGTGCAGTGTAGGTCCCCTTCCCCCGAACCCCTCCAGGGATGCAACACCGCAGCCTCGGCTGAGACATGGAGTGCCCGCGCTGCGGGAAGCGCTTCCCCCAGGCGTCCCGGCTCCGGGATCACATTGTGCTGCCGTGCACGAGGGCCGCCGGGAGCACGCGTGTCCCCACTGCCAGAAGCGCTTCGGCTTCGCCTCGGGGCTCCGAGAGCACGTTAGGCTCGCCCACGAAAACGTCCGGCCGCACGGCTGCGGCCTGTGCGGCCGGAGCTTCCACAAAGCCGCGGACCTCCGCGCCCACGCTGCCATCCACGAGCGCCGCGGTTTCGTGTACCGCAGCGGCCGGGAGGCGTGCGTGGAACGTCTGCTGCGCCGGGAGGAGCTGCCCTTCCGTGCGCAGCTTCGCGTAGATTTCACGGATGGCTCCAGCCACGGCGGCCACGCGCTGCTGGACTTCGCTGTAGAGCGCGACTGGGGGCTGATCGCCCTGGAGGTCGATGAGGGACAGCACGCCTCCAGGGAGCCGGCGGACGAGTGCCGCCGCATGGTCGAGATCTTCCGCTCGAAAAGCCGGCCCCCCGGCAAGCTGCGGTTTCTGAGGTACAACCCGGACTGCGGGCTGCACGTGGTGGAGCGCCACGGCCGGCTGCTGGAGGCGCTGGCGGAGCCGCCGCCGGCCGGCGACCTGGAGATCCTCTACTTGTACTACGACCTGCCGGCGCCGGGCGCTGAGCTGCCGAGCGTCTGCCTGAGGGCCGACTACCTGGAGGAGCTGAGGGCCGTGGCCCGCGCCTACTGAGGGGAAAAAGCCAGGACCGCTATAGGTGCACCACAGGTGCACCACAGGTGCACCACAGGTGCACCACAGGTTCTCGGCGCAGCCTCTTTGCTCATCCGCTCGCTCCGCTCGCTCCGCTTCCTTCGGTCGTCGCCATGTTCTTCGAGAGCCCCATCCTGCTGGAGTACTTGTACTCGCGGGATTGGCTCCTCGACGTGAAGCTCAGCCTTCGCCCCGACATTCGGACGCGGCAGGCGGACATGATCGCGAGCCGCATGATCGCTGCAGAGTCCCCCGATCACCATGGGGTCGGACGTGCTCGCGCTTCGCGCCACCAGCCGGGGCACGCGGAGGTTCCACCTGGAACCTGGAAAGCAGGCGGCGACCTGGCTTGGCCTGGATGCCTGGCTGGACTGCATGCGGCGCTTCCGCCGCCTGGTTCACGACCGCTTCGTCTTCAGCTGCCTGCGAGGTTGCCGGGTGCTTCGCATCTACCTGGGAACCCTCTCCAGGGAGGCTGCCCGTCGCGAGGCCCTGAAGCTGCGTGCGATCAAGCTGCGCTTGGAGACGGCTCCCGAGCGCTCGGACCAAGACATCTACACGTGGCCCCGAACGCCGCTCAGATTCTACGAGAAGCTTGAAGTCAGCTTCGAGGGCGAGCGCCGCCTTTTGGACGTCTGAGCCGAAGGCCCCGCCGGCGGCTAGGAATTGCACAGGCCTGCCCCGCCAGCAAAAAAAGGCGCCTCTGCAGGTGCACCACAGGTGCACCACAGGTGCACCACAGGTGCATCACAGATGCATCACTCCCGCCCGCAGCCGTTTCAGCTCGCTTCGCTACCCCAGCCGTCATGCGGCTGCCTTCGAGCCTCCTGGACGAGATCGCCAGCTTCCTGCAGCCCCGGGACTGGCTGGCCAGGCGCGACATGCAGCTGGAGTCCAGGCAGCAGCTGTACTGGATGGCCGAGCGCATGTGGGTCCATGACCGCTACAACCACCAGGCCATGGTCTGCGGGCGGGACGTGCTGAGCTTCGTCGGCTGCTGCCGCTGGCTGCGCAACGACCGCCTCGGCGGCAGGACGCTGGTCTTCCAGCGGGAGCTCCACTACGCCGTCATCTCCGAATGCATTCGCTGCATGGAAGAGCGGGTGACCTGCCCGGCCCACGAGATCCGCGCGCTGGAGATGACCGCGGAAAGGATGTCGCCGGCCCAGGGGCGCCGCCACGCCATGGAGCAGTACCGGCTGCGGCCGGTGCTCAGGGAGCGCGGGGCTCGGTGCCGGTGCGACCACGTGGTGACGCAGATGGCGCTGCTGGACGCGATCACCGCCGAGCCGCTGCCGGGGAAGGTGGAGGAGCTCCAGGAAGGCAGTTGCGTGGTGAGCCGGCTGATCTAGGTAGGTTGGTAGGTAGGCGAACCGCACAGGCCTGCCCGCAAAACAGGCATGATGCACCGCCGCAGGTGCATCACAGGTGCATCACAGGTGCATCACCCCTCCCCCCCTGCAGCCGTTTCAGCCTTCAAAGCCTGTAAGCCTTCGACTTGGAAGCCATGGCCGGCCAATTCGTCATGGAGTGGCTCTTCGAGGACACCTTTCCGCTGCACCGGAAGTTCCCGGTGCGGCCTGAGCCGCTGCACCAGTACAGCCTGCAGTGGCAGTCCAGCTGCGACTACCACGCCTGGGCCAAGATCATCCTGCGCTGCCTCCTGTGCGGCGGGGTCCCGCCGCACCGGCGCCTCGAGGTCCGCCTGCAGCTCCAGCGCGCCGGGCGCCTGGCGGGCGTCTGCGACCAAATCGAGATGCGCGACTTGCTGCGCGCCAGCTGGGTCCTGAAGCGCCCCATAGTGCTGCACACCTGGTTCCTGGGCGCGGATCGCGAGTTGGGAGAGACCGACGAGTACCTCCACCTGGTCGATGCCGCCCTGCCCCAGGACCAGCGCCCCGCCTTGTCCTGTGACCTGCCGCTCGAAGGCGAGCCCCCGGCCATTTCGCCGAGGAGCCTCGAGAATGCGACGTTCTACATGTCTTGCCTGGTAGAGGATCACATGAAGGGTGGCGCCTGGCACCCTGGGTCCGACGACGAGGACTGAAGCGCATAGGTAGGAGAAAAAGTCACGTGAGCAGTCGTGGGGGTGGGGGTGGGCGGTTGAAGTCTCTGAGCTGGCGCACGGCCAAGGGCTCCGGCCGCCGAGTCAAACGGGCCACGGGCTCGCTGCTGCCCCGGGGCACGGGCAGCGCGTGCTTGAGTAGGGTCTCGCTGCCGTCCGTGGCGCGGACCGTCATGGAGTCGAAGCTCGCCACGTCCCTCGCGGGGCCGTACTGTGGCTGGAAGCTTCGCGCCGCATTCGTCGGAGCGCGGAAGGCGGCCTCCTCGAGGCGCCGCTGCCGGCCCTCCGTGAGCTCCTTGTTGTGCTGGAACTTTTCGGCGTTATCCTGGTAGACCCTGAAGCTGGCGGCCGGCTTCGTCTCCACGTCCTCGGGCGCCACCGTGACCGCCGCGTGCGGTCGGGCGTTGTAGGCCTCCGCCACCTCGTCCACGTGGTCCCCCCAGCCGCCGCCGCTGCGGGCCACCTTGCCCGCCAGGTCCTTCTTCAGAGTCTGGATGGCGCGGTCTATCACCGCCGTGGCGTTCCTGTCCGCCGGGTCTTTTTGGCGGTGCACCGCGCCTCCGGGCAGGGCGGCCTCGAGCCCCCGGAACTCGTTCCCTTGATCCGTGGTGACGACGTAGTTGCCCTCCTCCTGGACCAGGTCGGGGATGATCTCCGCCGCCGCTCGGGTGACGGTCTCGGCCCGCTTGTCGGGCAGGGCCTTGGTGGCCACCTCCCTCGTGAAGACATCCGTGACCACCAGGCCGAACTTGTTCCGGCTCCGGGTGTTCTGGCTGAAATCGATCAGGTCCGCCTGCAGCCGGTCGTTGGGCCCCTCCGCTGCGCTCTTCCCGAGACTTCGCGGCTTGGGCGCCAGGACCTGCCGCGCCACGTCGCTGCGCAGCGCCGCCGCGGCGCGCGCGCTCGTGAGGTCGCGTCGCTCCGGGAACTCCCGTCGAGCGATCTGGTAGAGCTTCCTGGGGTCCCGCACGTTGAAGTCCCGGGCCAGCCGCCCGAGCAGCTCCATCGCGCCGTCCTCTGCCATTTCTAATCCGAGTCGCCTTTGCGCCCCTTCTTCTTCTCGAGCTTTTCGAGCCGCTTCTGCAGCCTCTTACACGTCTGCCACAGCACCGCCGTCATCCGCTGGTAGTCTAAAGTCATGAGCTCCCGGTCGTCGAAGTTCCGGAGCTTGCAGAAGCTCTTGCCCAGCCGGCCCGACGCGTCCACCTCCTGGGCTACGAAGCCCACCTGGTCGGCGGCGCCGTCGATGCGGTCGTAGCTCCGGGCCTCCACGCCGTCGAAGAGCTCCTGCGCCTCGTCCTCCGATACCGGCCGGACGTTCGTCTTGAGCCTCTCGTCCGAGAGGTTCTGGAAGCCATAAAAACAAATGACTTCTCCATTGTTGGAGCCGCCTGTGTTCGGCTCGATGACCAAGTTCGCCGTGCTCCCCGTAGTGTTCAGCGCGATGGTCTGGTCCAGGGCGTTGAGCTGCGCGCCGCCGTTGGCCAGCGCCACGAGCTCGCAATTCCCGCCGGCCGGGGCGTTGTTCTGTGTGCCCAGGAAGAGCCGCGCCACGCCCGTCGGGGCCTGGTTGATGACGGCCAGCTCGCAGAAGCCGCCGGGGTCCCCGAGCCCCGTGACGGCGGCGAATTTCGTGTTCAGCTCCAGTCCCGTGGTGCCGCCGGAGAGGTACAGGTAGGGCAGGCTGGGCTCGGGCGCGATGGCGCCGTTGACGAGGAGGGTGTCGTTGACGAGCACGCCCTGGACGCCGCCCTCGATGCTGAGCCAGGGCGCCGCCGGGTCGCAGCGCACCAGCGGGGCTTCGACCCGCAGGTTGCTCACGACCTCCAGGTTGGCCGTGACGCTGCTGCTCGAGTTGAAGGTGCCCGTGGCGGCGACGCTGCCCACGAGCAATTGTGCGAAGTCAGCCGTGGTGGCGTTCAAGGTGCTGGCCGCAGCCACGGTCACATCCCGGTCCAGGCTGATGCCTCCGTCGGCAAATGAAGCCAGCAGCGCCCCGTCCTCTTTCCGGACGGTGACCAGGGCGTTCTGGACCTGCAGATCCCCCGCAGAGCTCCGGAGCTCGGGCGTGTCCACGAAGCTCGTGGCCGTCAGGCTGTTGACCGTCAAGTCGGCGGTGGGGATGACCCCGCCGCTGTTCTCCAGAGTCGTGACTCGAGTGTCGAGGTCCGGCACCGTGGTGTTCTCCAGGGCGGTGACGCGGGTGTCGATGCCATTGACCTGGGAGCCCAGGCTGTTGAAGGTGGCGACCAGGGGGTATAGCGGCTGTCGCTTTGGGACTTGCTCCAGCAGTCCGCCTCGATCTCGAGCACGCTGCCGTTGCCCAAGATCGCCGCTCCCGTGAGGGGCGACCTGAAAAGCAGGCTGCGCACGATGTGCGGCGTGAATTGTTTTTGCACAAGGTGGAAGATGCCGTTGCCCTCCGCCACGGAGGGATTGTTGGGAAAGTAGCGGGCGTCCAGCGGCCCGAAGTTGTTGTTCGCTAGGAAGCGCCCGTCGGATTCCGACTTGCTATAGGCGTCGCAGGTGAGCTCCAGCGTGGTGTCCGAGAGGATGGTGGAGGCTCCCAGGGCGGCCCGGGGCAGGATGGCCTTGATCATCGGGGGCGTCACGTTGGTGCGCACCAGGGACTCGAAGCTGTTGTTGGCGCTCACCGCGAAGTAGCGGGTGTCGGCCTGCGCCTGGGTGAGGAAGCCGGAGCCGGCGAGCGCATCGTCGATCTCGGTCTGGGTGCGCCCGCTGGTCCAGTACTGCGTGAAGGTGGCCGTGAGCTGGCTGTCCAGCTCCGCGCGGGTCGTTGGCCACGTAGGCCTGCGTCCCGGCCTGGTCGTAGTAGCCCGACAGGTCCACGTTGCCCAGCGCGTTGGCTATCTCCTGATCCGTCTCTGCTCTTGTGTAGAAGTCAAGCAGGGCC